TGTTTTTCTGTCAATATGGGGTGCTGTGTGTACATTAATGAGGAAAAAAAATTAACTTAAATGATTTTAGCAAATGGCTGCAATATAAGAGAGAGTGAAAAATTTAAGGGGGTCTGAATACTTTCCGTACCCACTGTATATATATAAAATAAATTACAATACAGTATTACATATACAATATTTTTAATGAAATATTTTTATTTTTAAGAAAACAGAAAAAAACACACACACACACATATATATATATATATACACACATATGTGTTTGTGTGTCAATAAATTTCAAATATTATAATTTCAAATAAATGTACTTAATCTATTATTTCATATTATATATATTTTGCTTATTTTATATACATAATAGGAAATAATAGATTACATGAATGAATTAATGAATAAATAGTCTTTTTTATTATAAATTATTTTATATGTATACTATAATATGAGAAAATAATAGATTATGTAAATAAAAAAATAGCTTGCAAAATCCTAAAAACATTAAATTTCTTGTCTTTTTTTTTTTTTAGCTGGGGATGAAATGATGTAGATCTGTTTGTGAGACTCACCTGGCTATGAAGTTTGAACTCAAACCAGATCACCAGAGAGAGCGAGCACTATTTTTACCAGCACAGATGGCGAGTGCAGTAACATAAACAAGCCATGCATTAGTGCTCCTCGGGGACGCACAGATTCACACACATCACTAACTCTCTGCTTCTCATCACAAGAAACAACGAGGGGCTCATTTGAAAACTGATTATGTCGCTGATCTCTCAGAGGAATACTATATCTTATAGGAATGGGCTGTATCTTAAAGAAAACACATATTTCCTCACACGCTGCTGCCGCCAGCTCATGATTCGCTGAAATAAACATGGAGCTCTTCCTCATTTTAACACTCATTCTAATTTGCACCTTTTGCTTCTCCTCTGCGACACACAGGGAATACTGACAACCCCACTCTCACACTCTCACACTCACACATGCACTCACACATGCACTCACACTCACTCGCACTCACACTCTCACACGCACACACTCTCACACTCGCACTCTCACACTCTCACACTCTCACACTCTCACACGCACTCACACTCACACACGCACTCACAGGCACACACTCACACGCTCACACACTCACACACTCACACACTCACACACTCACACGCACTCACAGGCACACGCACTCACAGGCATACACTCACACATGCTCACACACTCACACACTCACACTCTCACACTCTCACACAGTAATATAAAGCGCTGATGATTCACACCTGAGCTGACATGAGCTCAGATCCCAATCTACGACAGCAGACAACACATCGTTCAACTACATATGCATGTGCAGAATTAATACAGATACAGTAGCAAAAATAATTATGATTTGAGTCTAAAAAAAGTGTTCAAATCACATTTGTATGTGATGTATGTCAAGAGAAGCTCTCTATATCATCCTGCCTGATATTTTTCATCCTTTTAATGACATATTAAATACACAACTACATAAAAGTTAGGAATAATTGAAGATTTTTTTTTTATATCTTTTAGAAAGAAGATGCTGATTTGCTGCTCAAGAAACATTATTATTGAATGATTTCTGAAGATCATGTGACACTGAAGACTGGAGTAATGATGCTGAAAATACAGCTTTGATCACAGAAATAAATTATATTTTAACAGATATTCACATAGAAAGCAGCTGTTTTAGATTCTAATAATATTTCACAATTTTTACTGTATTTTTGATCAAATAAATGCAGCCTTGGTGAGCAGAAGAGACTTTCAGTCATTATTGCACTGGTTTGTCACTGAAGGCTTGTCTCTGTACCTGTATCTGTACACCTCGGAGTAATTGTCGGTCTGGCCGCTGCGCAGGGTCACGTACTCTTTGGGGAAACCGCTCTGCATCTCGGCGCAGAAGATCTGCAGGATCGTGGATCGGACTTTAATGTAATGCTCTCCATCTTTCTGAACGCCTCCCTTCATCTGAAGCTCTCGACAGCTCGTGTGCAGCTCACCTGATCAGAGAAACACACGTCAGCGCTTCTGCAGGCTTCACACACTCAAGACCTTTCTAAGACCAAGCAATGGAAGCACAACAGCAGGATTATTACAGTTAACTAAAACTGAAAATACACGGCAAAAAAAAGTGCTTTTGTTTTGTTTTCCAGTACAAATATCTAAACATTCTTAAGATGCATTTCCTTGAGATGCAAAATGAATGAAGATATCAAGTCTTGTCTTCTGAAGAATTATCAAACTGAAGTGAGTTTATGCCTAAAATAATAACACATCTGTCAATGAGGTCAGAAAAACAAACTTAATCTTCATTTCTGTCATGACAACTCTCGGAGGGATTGGCATGGTAATGTACATGACAATGTTAATGTATTTGTGACCCTGGAGCACAAAAGCAGTGTTAAGTGGCTGGGTATATTTGTAGCAATAGCCAACAACACACAGTAATATAAAGCGCTGATGATTCACACCTGAGCTGACATGAGCTCAGATCCCAATCTACGACAGCAGACAACACATCGTTCAACTACATATGCATGTGCAGAATTAATACAGATACAGTAGCAAAAATAATTATGATTTGAGTCTAAAAAAAAGTGTTCAAATCACATTTGTATGTGATGTATGTCAAGAGAAGCTCTCTATATCATCCTGCCTGATATTTTTCATCCTTTTAATGACATATTAAATACACAACTACATAAAAGTTAGGAATAATTGAAGATTTTTTTTTTATATCTTTTAGAAAGAAGATGCTGATTTGCTGCTCAAGAAACATTATTATTGAATGATTTCTGAAGATCATGTGACACTGAAGACTGGAGTAATGATGCTGAAAATACAGCTTTGATCACAGAAATAAATTATATTTTAACAGATATTCACATAGAAAGCAGCTGTTTTAGATTCTAATAATATTTCACAATTTTTACTGTATTTTTGATCAAATAAATGCAGCCTTGGTGAGCAGAAGAGACTTCTTTAAAAAAAAAAACATCTTAATTATTCCAAACTTCTGACAGGTAGTGTATATATTATGCATTTACTCTCAAATAAACATTTATTTATATGCCCAATATAACAATATTTTTACTAAAACATTTTAATAGATGAAAAATGGCACAAAGGCACTTTAATGATGATGCAACCACTGAAATCTACTGAATTAATGACATACTATGCAAATTAACTAATCAAATTAATATTGAGAAAAGCCGCCAAATGAATCTGAATCTTTCTACTGTGCAACACAAAAGCACACAAACCAGCACCAAATAAAAGTGGATGGTGATTTATAATCTCAAGCACCAAAAAGGACAAAAAAGAACCACGCTAAATAATATAATACTATAGTAATGATAAAATAAGCGTTGGAGCGACTTGAGGATGGAGAAAGAATAGTTACTATTGAGTGAACTATACCTTTTTATATTTAATAACATGAATTAATAATTACAGAAACTTATTTCTGCTACAGAATAAAAAATAATAATAAATCGCAATTCTGAGTTTATATCTCACAATTTTCACCCAGAAATGCAAGATAAACTCTCTCTCAATTCTCACACTTGTGACTACAATTGTATGAAAAAAGTTGCAATTACCTTTTTTATTTTTTTATTTCTGCAAGATAAATATACAGAACTGCAAGATGTAAACTCACAATTACAATTTCATAACTTACAATTGCGAGATACAAACTCACAATTATAAGAAGAAATGTCCGAACTGTGAGATACAATGTTGCAATTAGCCGTTATTTTTATTCCGTGGCAAAAAGCAAACAAAAAAAAAGATACATATAAACTGAACTTTGATGTTTAAATTGTGAGATACAAACTTTTCTTTCTTTTATGAGAAAAATGAGACAAGTAGTCACAGTTTCCTTATTTATTTTATTCTGTGGCAGAAACAATACAGAAAAAAAAACAATTGCGAGAAAAATCACTATTACACTACCGGTCAAAAGTTTGGGATCAGTTAGACTTGTAATGTGTTTAAAGAAGTCTCTTCTGCTCATCAACTGAATAAAAGTTTTAATTTCTTTCAAAAAAAGAAAGAATAAAATGTACTGACCCCAACCTTTTGAACGGTAGTGTATATTGTTAGAAAAGATTTCTATTTTAAATAAATGCTCTTATTTTTAACGTTTTATTCACCAAAGAATCCTGAAAAAAGTATCACAGCTTCCAAAACAATATGAAGCAGCAACAGTTTCCAGCACTGATAATAAATCAGCATATTAGAATGATTTCTGAAGATCATGTGACACTGAAGACTGGAGTAATGATGCTGAAAATACAGCTGCGCATCACAGAAATAAATTACATTTTAATGTATATTAAAATAGAAAAATGTTATTTTACATCATAATAATATTTCACAATATTAAATTTTTTCCTGTATTTTTAATCAAATAAATGCAGCCCTGATGAGCAGAAGAGACTTCTGTAAAAACATTAAAAATCGCTCTGATCCCAAACTTTTGAGCGGTTGTGTACCATTCTATATTTTTATTCTGTGGCAGAAAGCTTCCATAAATAACAGCGGTTCAGGTCTCACCTCTTCTGAAGACAGGCGGCGCTGGTCTCTCTCTCATCTTCTTCACCAGCTCTGACTGCGACTGAACGACTGACTGCAAACGGGACACTTCACTGAGGACGTCCCGATACGACTGAACGATGGCCATCGTCCTAAACACAGCACACAACATATACATCACATCAGAATCACTTTTATTAATAACACTCATCTTTATGCTTTTTCATTTGCACTGTTGTTAATGTGACAGCATGCATGTGTATATCAGGGTTATTTTTTTGTCATTTTGTCTCTACAGTTTTTATTATTTTATATTTCAGTTTTAGCTATTTAGCAGATTTTACTCTACATGTGAAATATTTAAGAAATGTGTCTTGGCTATGAAAATGCCAAGAAATATAGAAAGGAAAAAAAATGTAATATTTCCTGTCATCTTCATAATTGTGGGAACCTGCAGCTTGATTTACATTAGTGAAAACAATATGTGTCCATTATGTGACTGTTGAATGTCATTTCATTGATCATCTCATAGCTGTTACAATCACCCCCTCTAGTGGACGCCTGCAGCACTGAACACACACACACACTCACACACACACAGTCACACACACACAGTCACACACACACAATCAGAGAAAACTAATGTCATAAATACCTGAAGTCTGTCAGAGCTTCAAGAGACTGATCATCAACTACACAGTTTTCAGAGACATCCTGAGAAGAGAAGATCATGAGAGAAACACACATTATATTTTATTTAAATATTAAATTGTATACATAAAATAAAAGTTATAAAAATATTAACTATATTATTTTATATATAAATATAATCCACTTACTTACAATTTATTTTTATTTAAATAATAAATTGTAAACATTAAAATAAACACATACATTTATTAAATAATTTTTAAATAATAAATTCTATATATACAATAAAAATATATAAATAAATGTACAATATATTTTATATATAGAATGTTTACATATATATATATATATATATATATATATATATGCGTGTGTGTGCATATTTATGTACAATTTGTTCTATTTTATTTAAATAAAGCATTACACATTAAATTCAGCATGTGACGTGCCTTACACTGTTTGAGCTACAAACATGAACAACACTTTTAATCACGCAGCTTGTTGATGAGACAAACTTTGATGTTGGCATGACAAAAACCTGCTCTGAAAGTTTCATCAGCCACGAGCAGCACAGGTGTAACAGAGATGTAGCACAGACGTTGCGCAGGTGTAGCGCAAGTGTAATACGGGTGCAGCACAGGTGTAGCACGGGTGTAACAGGTGTAGTGCAGATATAATGCAGGTGTAGGGCGGGTGTACTATAGTGCGGTTGTAGCGCAGGTGTAGCAGGGTTGTGGTGTGGGTGTAGCGCAGATGTTGTGCACGTGCAGCACAGATGTAGCGAGGGTGTAGTGCATGTGTAGGGCAGATGTAGCGTGGGTGTAGCGCAGATGTAGCGCAGATGTAGGGCAGATGTAGCGTGGGTGTAGTGCGGTTGTAGCGCAGGTGTAGCGGGGTTGTGGTGTGGGTGTAGCGCAGATGTAGGGCAGATGTAGCGTGTGTGTAGTGCGGTTGTAGCGCAGGTGTAGCGGGGGTTTGGTGTGGATGTAGCGCAGGTGAAGTGCACATGTAGCACAGATGTAGCGAGGGTGTAGGGCATATGTA